TTTGCCTTGTTTTTGCACTTGCCTTACAACATGCAATACTTAAAAAATTTTTAATGAGGCTGGGCACTGTGGCTCACACCTGTAATCCCAGCACTCTGGGAGGCTGAGGCAGGTGGTTCACCTGAGGTCAAGGAGTTAGAGCCTGAGCAAGAGCAAGACCCCATCTCTACTAAAAATAGAAAAACCTCCCAGTATTGTGGTGGGTGCCTAGCTACTCAGGTGGCTGGGGCAGGAGGATTGCTTGAGCTCATGAGTTTGAGGTTGCTATGAGCTATGATGCCATGGCAGTCTACCCCAGGGCATGAGAGTGAGACTCTGTCAAAAAAAAAAAAAAAATTTAATGGTTCATAATTTTGTTGAGAGAGTCATATTTTTTGGTCCATTCATTACAAACATTTTCATTTTAGATTTATTAAAAGTTGGGTGGCACCTGTGGCTCAGTGAGTAGGGTGCTAGCCCCATATACCGCAGGTAGTGGGTTGGAACCCAGCCCCAGCCAAACTGCAACAACAACAAAAAAATAGCTAGGCTTAGTGACGGGCACCTGTGGTCCCAGCTACTCGGGAGGCTGAGGCAGGAGAATCACCTAAGCCCAAGAACTGGAGGTTGCTGTGAGCTGTGACGTCATGGCACTCTACCGAGGGTGACAAAATGAGACTGTCTCTTAAAAAAGAAAAGATTTATTAAAAGTGGTAATGACCAATCCAGCAAATTTTTAAAATTTCTATAGCATCTGTTTCTCTTCAATCACTTTTGTACACAACTACATTTAGCATGTCTCCATTTGAAAACTACCAAGTAAATCTTGGTGTATAGGAACCATAAAGATGAAAGAATATTATACTACGTTTTAGCAAACCAGGATGGCCAGGCTTTTGTCACAAATATTGTATGATAAAAGCCTTCCTGTTGAATGATTTAACTGGATGAAAATGCCATATTTATTTTTTGTCTTTAGAAATACATTGTTCACTCGTCAATTTTTTGGTTTGAGAAAATTCAGGAAAGGATTTTGCTTATGACTCATTTCACCATCATCCTTAGAGACTAGAGTGCTACTATGTCTCTGTATTCCTTTTTTGATTTGTCTAATAGTATGAAATGCTCTTCTCTGTCAGTTTTCTTGTCATTATGTTGGAAAATGAAAAGTCCTGAATTCTCAAATGTCTCCTGAAAGATGACACAGTATTTTGGGAAATGCAATTAGGAAACTGAAGGATGATGCAATGGTGATGGTTTATTTCACTACTGCATCTTCTTTCTAGGTAATATCATTTTTCATTTTCTTTCTGTCTTAGTTCTATTTATTATAGTTGGGGAATAATTGATGAGTGATATGAGATAATTTTTAGGAAGAAGAAATAGCAAAGTGTTGCAAGACATAGGAAAAATGTAGCTCATCAAGATACCAAAATGTGTTCTAGTTTTATAAAAGAATCTAATAAATCCATATGGTAATTTCAAGAGAGAATGCGTTTCATTTTATTTTTTTAAAAATAAGTACATTGGGCTTAGCGCCTGTGGCTCAAGTGGCTAAGGCTCCAGCCACATACACCTAAGGTGGCAGGTTCGAATCTAGCCCGGACCCACCAAACAACAATGACAGCTGCAACCAAAAAATAGCTGGGCATTGTGGCGGGTGCCTTTGGTCCCAGCTACTTGGGAGGCTGGGGCAGGAGACTCGCTTGAGCCCAGGAGTTGGAGGTTGCTGTGAGCTGTGAAGCCATAGCACTCTACCCAGGGGGATAGCTTGAGGCTCTGTCTCAAAAAAAAAAAAAAAAAGTACATTGGCTTAGCACCTATAGCTCAGTGGCTAAGGCGCCAGCCACATACACTGGAGCTGGCAGGTTCAAACCCAGCCCGGGCCTGCCAAACGACAATGACAACTACAACCAAAAAATAGCTGAGTGTTGTGGTGGGCGCCTGTAAGTCCCAGCTACTTGGGAGGCTGAGCAAGAGAATCGCTTAAACTCAAGAGTTTGAGGTTGCTGTGAGCTGTGACGCCACAGCACTCTTACCGAGGGCAACATAGTGAGACTCTGTCTCAAAAAAAAGAACATTTTTCTCTTTATTCTTTGGAATACCATAAGAAGGGGGAATAGTCATAAAATATCCTTAAACATACTCTAAAACTACTCTAAAAAGAAACGCAAAAACTAAATTTGGGTCCAGTGGCTTCTGATGGTATGCTGTGAGTTAACTCTGTTCTCAGCTGGGGATAGGATGGCAAGCCTAAGGGCACAGTGCTAGTGACTTGTGGTCTGGTTCCTGCTGAATGGTAGCAGTCTCCCATTTATTTGGAATGGCGGTCCAAAGAGCAGTGAACCAGGAGCCAGGGAGAACCTTCATATACGGTCTCTCAGTCTAACCAATAGTCCTAGACTAGAACACATGGGGTATCACCTTTGCTCGTGTTCTGTAAGCCTCACTCATCAGGGATATGAACCATGTCTCCCATCATACATTTGGAGGCCTCTAAGGGCAGGGATGATATTCTATAGGGCTAAGGTTTCCCATGTTGGAAATGATGATAGGTGTCTCCTCCTTGTATACAACCCCTGCGTTAACACTCAACACCACTTGATCAGATTCATAGAGCCTGGGTGAGGCAGTATGGAGAGAGCTGGCTTTGGACATAGCTGGACCCAGGTTTGAATCCTGGCTCTGCCACCACTCACCAGCCTGATGACTTTAGTCAGCTCATCTCACAATTCTCAGTCTCTTGTTTATTCATTTGGGAGGGGACAGATGGGTGGCAGTAGTCCCTCCCTCACAGGTATTATGAGAGATCCAGGAAGCTTTGGTTCAGTGTAGTCAATGGGAGGTGTTGCTCCAGGCACTTGGGGACACAGAGGTGAAGCTAAAACCTTTTCTGCCTTAAAGGTCATTATCCTTTGGGTGTGTCACACAGAAAGCCCTCACCATATGCCAAGGGCAACAGATAAGGGGCACAAGGGGAGAGTAGGCAATCTGGGAGTCAAGATGTCAGGTGTGCCCAGGTAGACAAAGCAGAAGAGGTATTGGTCCATGCACAAAAGAGCACTGGAGGCATGAAAAGTCAGCATGGGAGAAGTGGGACACTACCTGGTGTGCAGTATATGTCCAGTCCAGGTGACCTGCCCATGTCCTCAGGCAGAGATTGCCCTGGATTTGCCCCTACCTTTTACTTGGGTAGGCAAGTAGTATAGTGCCTTCTTTGCTTTGTCCTGAGTGTTGCCGGTGGGGCTAGACCTCTACCCCACTCCCCTCCCCTTGCAGCCATTATCAACTGTGTCCAGATGGTCACAGGCTCCCTAATCTGGGATAATCAGCAGGTTTGAGCTCAGCTGGGACCCAGGCTTTTGTCCTTGCTGTGATGGGCCAGCCCCAGCTGGAGAAACCGTGCAGACAAAGCCCTGGGGCTTTGGAAGATGGGAGGGGTGCTGGGCTGGCTCGGTCCTAGAGGGAGATGCAAGAAACAGATGATAGCTCCTCTTCAAAAGACAATCTTAAGTACAAATGAGAGAGAACCCACAGATGGGGCTTGGCCAGCTCCTCTAGGCCTTAGGCACAGGCAACAGACACTGAAGGGCTGGGCCTCAGCCTCACAGAATCTATCTTTGGCATCTTTCCCTTTTTCTCTCCTCAGAGCCTGAGCCTACCCCTTTCTATCCAGCAGTATTATCTTGCTGCCCCTAGAGCCCTAGGCTTATAATGGCATCAGGGGCCTATCCCCTACACTGACATTAGGGATCTCGCAGGTCAAGGTGAAGAGCCAAAGTGGTTGGGTTTTCAGAGGTCTGTAGCTCCAATGTCCTCCACCCTGGGCCTATAGTTTGCTGTGATTCTCAACCCCATGGCTGCTCAGAGAAGCAAAACATTTTGTTCTATGTTTTTTTAGCCTCTTCCATGAGTTAGGGAGCTCCACTTTGGCTTTGGCTTCTAGCAGTCAGTGCTGATAATCTCAGATTTAAGAATAGTAACTTATCTCTGGAAGGAGTGTGGGAAGGAAAGGGTTTTGGAATAGATCACAGCCTATAGTGGAATTTGTAATCATCTATTTCTGTTGTTTTTTTTAAGACAGAGTCTCACTTTGTCACTCAGGATAGAGTGCTGTGGCATTATAGCTCACAGCAACCTCAAACTCTTGGGCTCAAGTAATTCTCTTGCCTCATCCTCCCAAATTGCTGGATTATAGGTACCCGCCAAAACACTGGGCTAGTTTTTCTATATTCAGTAGAGAGGAGGTCTCACTCTTGACTGGTCTCAAACTCCAGAGCTCAAGTAATCTACCTGCCTTGGCCTCTCAAAGTGCTAAAATTACAGATGTGAGCCACTGCATCTGGCCCATCTATTTCTTAAGTTAGGTGTTGGGAAACCTATTTAGTTTACTTTTCTTGAACTGCTATTATATACATTCTTTTAATGCATAAAATATTAATATTTATTTTATTCAGACAAAGTCTTGCTCTGTTGCCTGGGCTAGAATGTAATGGCATCACTGTAATTCACTGTACCCTCAAACTCGTGGGCTCAAGCGATCCTCCTGCTTCAGCCTCCCAAAGTGCTGGGATTACAGGTGTGAACCACCCAGTTTATACATGAAATATCTTTTAAAGTGTGAATGTCAAAATCTAATAATGTGATAGTATTAAGAGGTGGGGCCTTTACGGAAGAGTTTAAATCACTTAGGAAGTGAGGGTAGAGCCCTCATGAATGGGATTAGTTAGAGGTTGATGCGAGCTGCCTTACCTCTTTCCACCATGTAAGGACAAAGCAAGAAAGCACCATTTATGCAGCAGAGAGCCCGCCCCAGATAAAAAGTCTCTGGCACCTTGATTTTGTACTTCCCAGCCTCCAGAACTGTGAGAAATAAATTTCTGTTGTTTATAAATTACCCAATTTACAATATTTTGTGAAAGCAGCCCAAAAGGACTAAGATGGCTTAAAAGTACTTTGTAAAGAGTAAAGGAAGTAATGTTGCGGACTACTTATCTAGACAAAGCAGGCTCAAGTTGGAACACAGATCCAATGAGGTTTTATTTCTACAAGAAAAGGGGACAATAAGTTAAGGGGCTATTTTACATCGAGGTACCATGAGGGGAACAGAGAGGTTCGCCTGCCTTCCCCCTGCCTCTCTGCCTCCTGACTCATGCTGTCCAAGTCTGAGTCACTTGCTTAAGCTCTGGATAATGGTGACACAGCCATGGGAGCTGGTACAACGCTGCAAGGATGGCTGGGCCTCTACTTGTCCACTGCTGGGATCAAAGGTGAAGACCCTATCTGTGCCTTCCCCACGATCATCCCGCCCGCCAAAGATGTAGACCTTCCCGTCACACACAGTCACGCCACAGCTCTCCTGGGTAGACAAACAGAAAGACAATTAACCACTGGATCCAGCCTGGGAGGCCCTTTGTCCCTAACTGGCCAACCCAGATAACAGAACCTTGATCCACAGACTATGAGCAGGCAATCTGGATTGAAGAGAGGCAGAAAACTGGATTGACCTGAATTCAAGCTCTAACTTGACCCATACTCAATGTCTTAGATAAGTCACTTAACCTCTCTGAGCCTCAGTTTCCTCATCTGTAAAGAATAATAATAGTGCCTTCTTCATATGGTTCTATTAACAGTTAGGGGGTTAAGCAGGTAATGTATTTTACGTACTGCCTGGAATATAGTAAGTATACCAGTAACAATACTAACCACTACCACCTTAGGCTCTCAGACTCAGAGATGCCAGAAATCTTAGACTTCCAGGTTCACCAAAGGTTAGGATTGGCGATTGGCAGAGAATACCAGTTCAACCACACCTTTATATAGTCTTTTCAGAGTTTCATGGATGGTAACAGAGGTGCTGGAGCCTAGGAACTGTAGGGGCCAGAACTTTGAGGGATTCAGCCTCCCTTCTCTGATATCACTGAAGCAGGAGAACTTAACAGATCTCTTCCCTGGCCCCCACCCTATAATAGGCTACCAGCTGGTGGCCTTCAGGGCAGCATCATTTAGACACCCCCCCCCCCCAGACACAAAAGGCTATAGCACTTGGGACAAGGGTTCTAAGCTCTGCCTTGGGCCCAGTCCTCAATTCTTATCTGTGAAATGCACAGTTGATTATTACTGTGAGGACAAAGTAAGAGTGCTATATAAAACCATCAGGCATGGAGTCAACACACAAGACTCAATGCCTCTAAGATCCAGAGGCTTAGAAGTGGGTTCTGTTCTGAATGGAACCAGTACCAGGAGCTGAACCCAGAAGCCTCCACTTACCACAGGGCTGGGGAGGACAGCTGCCTCCTCCCAGACATCTGTGCCAGGATCATAGGTGAAGATTTTGCTCATGAGGCCTCCCACCACGTAGATGATGTCCTCAAGGGAGACAGCCTCGAGACACCGTTGTGAAAATGGTGCTGGTGACCGCAGGCTCCACTGGTCCACCTTGGGGTCAAAGCACTGTACCTGGGATGTGGAACAGCAGCAGTGAAGATAGACCCTCAATCCCTGCCTCCCCTCTCCCTGGGGGCACCCATTCAGCACAACAACACTTGCCAGTGTCCACCAAGCCTGAGGCAGCATCTTGGAGGAGACCCGCTATCCTTGCCCTAAAATGCCCTCGGTATTTAAGTTCTATCGTCTGTCCCTGGACCTCCTTTGTCAAAAGCCACCTGATCTTTCAAGGTTTGGCTGAAATGCCACCTCATCCTTAAGGCCTTCCCTGTTTCTAGTCTCCAACCCTCCAACCTTGCAGAAAGTCTCTCCTTTGATGGAGAACTCAGTCACCATGGTAAGAGAATCACATAAATTTGGGAGAGGTATGTGTCCCTTGTATGTCTGTGTTGGTGCTACAGAAGGCCCTCAGAGCAGGTCCCTCACAGAGATGTGTTCCTGGCTATAGGCATTGCTAACTCCTTTCTCTATTCTGGTGCTTTGAGGTCATGACAAGACTCCAATTGACATGTCTTATAGCCTCATTCCTATAGCTGTCCACAAGCCTCCGAAACCCAAAGGTGATTTGATGCCCTTAACAGTTTCTAAGGATGCACTCCTGTAACCTAGCTGCCTGCTCACCTTACTGCTTCAGTTGTTTTCTTGGAGACCCAACACAACAGCCAGTAAAAGTCAGTGCTGTGCATGGGATAGTGCCAAACAGGGCCTCCCACCACAACGCCGCCCACTCACCTCAGGAGAGTTTGCTGGAGGAATGGAGCCAGAGAATAAGGAAGGGTGGGGATCCTAGTGTGGGATTCAGTCCCAGGACCACAGCTTGTGAGGTCATCATAGGAGGGAGGGAGCAGCCATGATAAAGATTAGTTTTTTGTTTTTTTTTTTTTTTTTTTC